ACTGTCCTCCTCGCGGCTCTCCGTCTCGTTGGTTCCGCGGGGTTTGCCTCGCGGTGCTCGGTCGTGTTCGTCTTGCGAAGCTGCTTGACCAGCATGGCGACGAGCTTATCAGTGTAGTTCGCGCTGTCCTTGGCGAGCTTGCCACGGGCCTCGACGTGTTTGTGTAGGCCGTTGCAATGCTTGTGCAGCGAGTTGTCGATCCCGTAGTGGTCGGTGATAATCCTCCACGGCTTCTTGATCGCGTCCCCGTTCCTTGTCTGAAGGCCGTAAGCGCAGCCATCGAAATCGATGATGCGCGGGAGCTGATCCTTCAGCTTCTTCGCGGTGTAGTTCTTCCTCTGATCCCAGCCGTCGCAGTAGCGCGGCCACTCGAAGGAGACCGCGAGCTGGCTGCCAAACTCCTTCCGCAGACGGCTCATTGACGTCAGGAAGAGGTCGATCATCCTGGCGGAATCCTTCCGGTCCTTTCCAGCTTCTCAGCCTTGCGGGGGTCGATCTTCAAGATGATGCGCTGCAACGTGGTCCATGGCGTGCATGGAAATGCGGCATGGACCCGTACACTCTGGCCCTTCCGCAGGTTCTTCCGAATCTTGTCCTCGAGCTTCTCGACGATGGGCTTCCGAGAGAGGTCATATCCAGGAAGACCGCAACGTACAGCAGCTCCTCCACTCTCGATCCACTTCGCACTGAGCTTGCTGTCGGAGTTGCAGCACCACTCGTAGAGGATGGTGGTGTTGCTCGAGATTCCGCTCGAGTTCGTAGTTTGCTTGGCCAGGTCAGCCTTGAGCGCCTGGCTGACTGTGTGTGGCTTAACGCCGCTCTTGTTGGTGACGATGGCCGACCGCTTGCCGGCGGTCAGCTGCAGCCTTGTCCCTTTCTTGAGCCGCCGTACCTTCATCTGCTCCTCCTCCACGATGTTGACCTCCTTCGGGTCGTTGTCTTTCTCGATGTCCAACGTGACCGAGTTGCCGAAAACACACTCGGAGCAGAACCCGAGGTGGCAACAGTCTGTATAGGACTTGGCGCCGCAGGCCACGCAATCGTCGAGGGGCTCGGCGATGCAGGTAGTAGCCGACATCATTGTTGGAGCGAACGTCGGCGGCGTGACCGCCGTCGAACAGCAGACCAACGCAGAGCTTACGGCGGCCATGAGCCTTGAGCTGCCGCCGCGTCGCTGTTGAAGTCGTCTCGGTACGTTGAGCTCCTTCTTGGGAATGAGTCTCGTGATGTTCTCGAGCAAGTTGCTCGCCTTCGTAGTGAGGTTGACATTGGGCTTCGGGACTGGCCGCTTGGCGATGCTCTTGGTACTAACAGCCTTCGGTCCAAAATCATGGCCCGCGCCCTTGATGGCGAGCCAGTCCTCCGGGTGGAGGTCGATCGCGGGGTGCCCTGCGCTGCTCGTGATGAGCTTCTGGGAATGGTTCCCGATGCGAATCTGTTCCCGCCAAAGCGAGATGTCGATCTTGCTCGGTTGGATGAAGTCCCGGCCGATAAGCAGGCCGAGCGTGGGGCTGTCCACGACGCTGAATATTATGCGACCAGCGCGGCCACACAGGACGAGTGGGGCTGTGACGCGCATCTTGCTCGGGAGCGCGCCACCGTTCCCGAACCTGTAGACTTCGTTCTCTGGCTCCTCCAGGATCTGGTCGGCCAGACCCATCTTGGTGAGCTTCTCCTTGCACTGCTTGTACCAGCTGAGCCCGCCAACGCAGAAGAGACAGGCAGTGTCGATCACGCCGACGCCGTCATCGTTGGGCTTCTCGCCAGCGTTGGTGGTGTTTATGGTGGGCAAGTCTGGCACCACGCGCTCGGAGACCAGAGTCTCGGGGGGCGGGGTAGTCGGACCTTCTGGATGAAGAATCACTTCCTCGTCACCAAACTCCACGTGATTCTGGTCGTGGACCTGCTCGGTGATGTTGGCCTGGCGGTGCGAGCGACCTCCGCCGCCTCGTCCTCCGCCCTTTTGCTTAGAATTTGGGGCGAACTTTCGAGCCCCTGGTGTCGGGCACTCCTTGTCACCGGTCCAGTGCCCCGCCTCGCCGCAGTCCCAGCACTTGGAGTTCTTCTTGCGCTGGTCCACGCGGCCTTGTAGCTTGCCCGCGGGTCGGCGCTTGGCCGAAGCCTTCCCGCGGCCCTTGATAGCTTCTCGGGCCGACCGCATGGTCGCCATGGCCTCGGGAATCGCGGCGAGCTCCGCCGCGGCAGCCTCCACCTTAGCAGAGTCGCCCCGATCGAACACCTCGTCGAGGTCGTAATTTGACTGCTCCAGCTCGGCGCTGAAGGCCTCGAGCTCCTGGCGCACGATGTCCTGGACGTCTGCCTCCGTATCGTTGTCGTCGCCGTCCTCCGAGTCCTCATGCTCGTCTTCTGGCTCGTCAGCGATGTTGGCTGATCGTGCTCGGCTTGGCGGTGAGCGCTGCCAACTACTGTTTGATCGCTGCGGCCACGATCGCGACGGCAAGCTCGCGTGTCGTTCAGATGTGTGAATATCGGGGAACATGCGCACCAGCAGGCCCCTGATGCGCTGAAATGAGTAGTGCTCGTCCGGCAAGTTGCCCACGACGCGCTCACGGCGCTCGGCCGTGAGCCCAGCCTTGCGTAGCAGGAACCAGCCGGCCACGTCGTCAAGCGTAGTGAGGTCAACCTCGTTCTCACGTAATTGCTGTAGTCCCGCCTCGAATCGCACGAGCCAATCCGTCATGCGTTCTCCACGGCGGCGATGGTGCTGAGTCGACTCGAAGAACCTTTCAAGCGTCTCTCCCTTCTGCACCGGCTTCTGCTGGCCTAGGTTTGCTTCGAGGTGCATCAGTGCGTTCTCGATGCCCTTCTGGTTGCGATCGCGCTTCTTCTCGTTCGCATCCTCGATGCCGTCGTCCGGCGGCGGGTGGAGCTCCTGTTCCGTCATGTTAAGAGCGGCCGACCTGGCTGTACCCATCAGACGCAGGACTAACTTCGATGCCAGGCTTTGTGTCACTTCCAAATTCTCACTGAGCTTCCACAATTTTACCTCCTGTTTGTAATCTCGCCATTTCGCTGGATCTCCATTCCAGCTTGGTATCACTGACTGGTTGTGTGTGAACTCCGTCATCTTGACACCTTCGTAGGTGGAGTATGTGGCGTCGCTGACACCGTCGTAGTAGAAGTATATGGCGTCGCTGACACCGTCGTAGGAGAAGTAGTATGGCGTCGCTGACACCGTCGTAGGAGAAGTATGTGGCGTCGCTGACAGTAGTATGGCGTCGCTGACACCGTCGTAGAGGAAATATGCCGCGTCGCTGACACAGGCGTAGGAGAAGTAGCTGTCGTCGCTGCTGAGGGTGGGAAGGAAGATGGAGTCGCTGGCGTCGCTGACGCTGGCGTTGGAGCTGGCAGGGATGTAGGCGTAGTAGGCGTAGTCGCTGGCGTCGCTGACGCTGGCGTTGGTGCTGGCGTCGCTGACGCTGGCGTAGATGCTGGCGTCGCTGACGCTGGCGTAGATGCTGGCGTCGCTGACGCTGGCGTAGATGCTGGCGTCGCTGACGCTGGCGTAGATGCTGGCGTCGCTGACGCTGGCGTAGATGCTGGCGCTGAGCAACAGCGCGAGGAGACCGCTGGGTCTCGATTCCAGTATGGAGCGCGACGTCGCAGACGTCGTCTTGGGTATGCGGCCCCGCGGGCCGGGATAGCAAGCCTCGCTCCAAGCTACCACTGTGATATGGATGGCGCGCGCGGCGCGACGATCTTTAGGCGAAAGAGAGCGCTGCTCAATCTATCTGCGTAGCTCTAAGGCCAAGGGCCCTAGTTCGAAATAAAACGGCAGCGGCACGAGCGGGCGTAAGGGATAGAGCGGGGATGCAGGAAAGGCACGGGGAGTGAGCGGGAATCACAGATATTACGTGCACGCGCGCGTGCAAGCGCGCGCGCGCAAGTTCGCGCGCTGCGCACAAGTCAACGTGCAGGCGTGCGCTCGCACGCGCGAGCAAACCACGTAGACGTACGCCCCTGCGCGGCGGTTCGCCGGCGTGCCCAAAAACTGATGCTTCCAGCGTGTTAGTAGGGTTCGGGGTTCAATACTTGTCAATGATACTCGGCTGCGCGCAAGAGTGACCCTATGCAAGAGTGACCACTGGTGCGCGTCTTCAGGGGGCCGCGGGGGAGGCCAAATCAAAACAATCCAAGCGTGCCAGCCCTTCCAGCGAAATGTCACTCTTACGCGTAACCGAGCTACGCGCGGCAACCGCGAGCCTGGCGCATGAGACGTCAAGCGGGCATCCAGCCATGCCTTCTGGCTTAAAGCGGCGACCCTGGTCGACCCCCAGGGCTCTTCCGGGGCGCGTCCTGACCAAGACCGATCGGGGACGCACGTTGACCCAGGTCAGCACAAATGGGGAAAGGGCCCTGTCGCGAAGCCCGGCTGGCCGCTCCATGGCTCCCAAACCCAGGCCAGCAGAGGGCGGAAAGAGGGAATTGTCCCCGCGTGACTCCCCAAACCCCCGACGTCACGATTTTGCTCATGACGTCGACCCCTGGAGGTATCGACCCATTCCCCGGGACCAGTTTTTCATCCTGAATCGTTTTTGAAAGGTCTTGGAACCGGGCGAGGGCCCGCAGAGGCCGAAAATCACCGCAACATCCCCGTCGTGAGTTTCTTACGAACCGAGGGCGCTTGGGTCCCAAACCTGGGCCAAGCCATAGCAAATTGGCTCACCCCTGACCTCGCTGACCTCCGTGACGCAAGTTCCGAAAGACTTCGATTGAAGCGGATCCAGCCAGGGGGCGACGCGGGCCCGCCACAAGAGGCCCCAAAGAGCGAGACGAACGTCGAAATCCCCTTCGGCGTCGTGGTCGCGGGCACGCGCGCCGCCGACCGGCCGCGGGAGCCGAAGGCCGCGGAAGGCCGCGGGAGCCCATCGAAGGCCGCCGAAGGCCGCTCAAGGCCGCTCAAAGCCCGCCGGAGGCCGCCAGAGGCCCGCCGAATGCCGCCGAAAGCCGCCGAAGGCGGGCGGGGCCGGGGCTGCGACAATGTCTGGGAGCTGCCCGCGGCGCTGCAACTGCTGGGCGGCGGCCGGGAGGGCGCCGCCGCCGTACTTGCCCTCGCGCGGGCCAGTCCAGGAGTCCAGGAGCAAAGAGCCACAGACAGCGCGAGGGAGAAGGAGAGACAGACAGACAGACAGACAGACAGACAGACAGACAGACAGACAGACAGACAGACAGACAGACAGACAGGCAGGCAGACAGACAGACGGATAGAGAAAGAGGAAAGAGAGAGACCCTGGCGTCGCGGCCACGCGCGCTGCAGCGCGGCGGAGTCGGGAAGCATCGCCAAGCAATGCCAAGCAAAGCAGAGCAGAGAAATACCGAGCAAGGCCGAGTAATGCCAAGCAGCGCCGAACAACGCCAAGCAATGCCAAGCAACGCAAAACAACGCACAACAATTCCTTGATTGCCAAAAAACGTACTTATAAAATTTCCCCTTATTGGGGTCGCGCCGGGCTCTGGTTGAACATGCCTTCAATAAGCCGTTATTGCGGCGGTCGCCCGGTCCTTCAGGGTCAGCGCGTTCTCGATCGCGTTGCAGCAAGGCGCCGCCTGGGCGACAGACTGCCGCCGCTAGGGCGTCGTCACGTTGACCGCCAGGTGACCGCTGGAGAGCCTCCGACAACTGGAAGAGGTTCGGCGAGATCTTCGGCAGCATCACGTATCCGTTGCCACAGTCGATCACCACACTCGTGCGGTGGACCCCGAGGATGTCTATGCCGATCAGCAGCGGCACTTCGTTGTCCATGATGGACAACTCCACGGACCCCTTCCCGCCTTCCAGGAAAATGTCTCCAGCCATCGTACCCATAGCGTTCTTCCTCGCACCGTCACCACTAGTGAGCGTCCGAGCCGTGTCCCGTCGCGCAAACTCCCGTCCGAAGCCCTCCAGCAGGTCGTAGGCCAGGTACTCGGCGATCGTCACGCCAATGAGGCTGCGAGTGGCACCGCGCTCCAGTATGCCCCAGATGTCGCATTCGTCGTCCCCCATCAACACCAGCTCGCCCAGCTCCATGAGTGCAAACCTGGCCCCGCTCACCTCATTGTTGGACACCTGCAGGCGGCTTTTGACACGATCAGGGCAGTCCTTCGCGTGATGTCCGAAATTACGACAGACCAGGCAGGCGCTTGATCTTGGGCGGTCCCGTCCGGGTTCATGTCCACGCTCCGCGCGGGGAGGTCGCTGGTCCCATTGCCGAGGGAGTCGCGGCTCCCGAGCCTGGCCCTGGGCGCCAGCACCAGGTAGCAGTCTCTAGCGACCTTCAAACAGCGGATGAGGTTCCTGGCGTCCTTGAAGCTCTGGCCAATGTGCTTGAACTCCGTGTAGACTCCATCCTCGGGATCGCCTGGGTCCTACATATCGCCAAGCAATGCCGCGTCGTCTTCGTCAGCGAGGCTCACCAGCTGGTCGACGATGTCGGCCAATTCCGAACGCTCGTCGAACTCGTAGATGTCGTCGCCGTCGTGCTCCTCCCCATCGCCATCGCCGTAGAAGCCGGCGCGCCTGTCGTTCGTCCGCCCCTCGACGCCGTCCAGCTCCTTGATGGCCTCGGCTGGGTAGCGTGTGCACAGCGCATTGTACGTCTGATCGAAATCATACTCTCCTCCAGCCGTCGCGGCCGCCTCGCCGTGCCACGGGCGTCAGCCGCGACCGGCGAAGGCACCACCAAGTCCGTAAGGGCGGGACTATGACCTCCTTCGCCGAGCCGTCGACCGCCTGCAATTGAACCACGAGAACCCTCTCATGAGCTTCCCATCTTGCCGTCCAATCGGGGAAGGCATCGCCGGCCTCGCGCTGCCACTTGTTGAAAAACTTCTCGGCTGAGTTCCCCATCTCATTCACATTAAAGAAATCGAGCTTGGAGAAAGGGAAACAGAACGCGCGCATCCAGCAGGTTAGCTCGCAATCCTTCACCTCGTTGATGCGATCGATGTCTGGGCAGTTCTGAGCCAGATGCCTTGTCCTAGGCCCAAGCGCTCCCGTTAACTGAGGGCCGATCACATGCCTGTCCTGGAGCTTGACGCTCTTGTTGAATAGCCCAATATCGAACTTATACGCAAGCAGTTTGTCTGCTTCTCCGCCCCATGAGGGAACATCAATTCAGAGTCCACCTCCAGCTCCAGTCCCTGCTCGGTCAGCGATCCTGTCGCCGTGATTCGCCGTGATCTTGTCGCCGTGATCTTGTCACAGCTCTTCTACCAATATGAATGTTCCTGGGCCTGCTGAGGCCCAGTGAGAAGGTAGACGTCGATGGTGGCGTAAGCCTGCACCTGCTGCCTTTTTCCTTCTAGCGAGCCGCTGCGCAGTCCAGCAACTCCAGCCTGCGTCCGCAAGCCAGTCGTTGAAACTCGCCAGACCGTCCTGCCGAGCCTAAATGGCTGAGGACGGAGGGCGCTGCACGAGCCGATCTCACCCGTTCTCGACCGTCACAATAAAAAAAAGCCCCTAAGACCGTCCAGAAGGGCCCAAAATCGGCCCAAGAGGCGCCAAAGATCGCCCAAAATGCCCCCGAGATGGCCCAAAGAGGGGCCCAAGAGGAGGAGCAAAAACCGACAATTCGAGCCTTCCGCCCCAAGAGGCCCCCGGAGGCCCCAAGAGGGCCCCAAGAGAGCCCAAGAGGCCCCCTAGAGGCCCCACGAAGCACCCAAGAGGGTCAAAACGAGGCCCCAAAACAACCCCAAACAGCCCCCAAGAGGCCTCCAAACTGCCCCCAAGAGGCTCCCACGATATCCAAACGACCATCCAAGAGGCCTCTAACCCACAACCCAGGCACGGTGGCAGGATGGGCCGACGCGAAGCCCTCCAAGAACGAGCTCCGAGGGCACCGCTGTGGGGGCGACGAGCGGCGAGCTGACGCGGCTTCAGGCGACCGAAAGGGCATTGCTCAGTCGAGCGCAAGCTTGAATGAGTCGCGCGAGTCAGGGGTATGACGCACCAGGCAGCTTCGGCATTTTGCCAACCTTGCCCAGCTGTGCGCGTGCCCAGTCGTCGTAGATCAACCCACGGCGCTCTCAGCTCACCGCAGATCACTGCGACTTCCAGGTTCGGGACGAGGAGGCTTCAGTTAGGCACGGCTGGCGGGGATCAAGAACGATGTCTGGTGTTCCTTGCCACCCTCTCGCTTTTTGCCGCCCCGTCCTGCTCTCTAGCGGCCGCGATGCCTCTTATCCTGCAAACGACTGCCAGAGGTTCCAACGCCCTGCACCTACTGGTTTCCGACAGCGAGCGAATTAGGGTAGGGCTGGGGCCCAAGTGAACCCGGCCGGAGTGAATAGTGCCCCCGAGGCGCTCCACACGTGCGAGGCCCCCCCAAGCAGCATCCCCCCCACCCCCGCGCTCGCCAGCCAGGTTTCAGCGAGCGAGACGCTCGCCGCACCTACGCCCGACAATATGTGCGGCACTGCTTCCTTATTCTCTTCATTTGCCCCCTCATCGAATGGTTCTGGACAGCAGTAGGATAGGGTCAAGGGCCCACGTGAGCCTACCCGAGAATAACGATGCCCCAGGGGCGCATCGCACGTGCGAGGTAGTCTCGGGGCCCCTCCCCGCGCACGCCAGCCAGGCGCCAGCGAGCAAGACGCTCGCCGTACCTCTACCCGCGGGTTAGTCGCAGCAGCGTATCCTCTCCGCCATTCTGGCCACCAGGCAAAAAGAGCAAATGGGTACACATGTCCTGCCATCACCTGCGAGCAAGACGCTCGCCGTGCTCAGCCCTCGTGCCAGCGACCGCACTGTTACTTGTCGCCAGTGTGGCCACCAGACAGACGGAGAAAGGCTGGATTTCCTCCCTCGCCTCCTGCCTTTGCGCGAAGATTGGGTGTCTCCGCCTCCGCTTTCTCATTGCAACGCTGTGCTCCCCTCCCTGACCTGAACAGTGCACTGTACGTGCTTACTGGGTGCCCGCGCAGAACCATTTGAATGTTTGAGTGTCTTGCCAGCTGCAGCACCGCACTCTGCTGACAGGCAATCGGTTTCAACAGCTGCGCAATCAAACCAATCCTCCTCCTCCTCCTCCTCCTCCTCCTCCTCCCCCATCCCCTTTCCTCCCCCTCCCCCCCTCCTCCCCCTCCTCCCGGGAGAATCGACCAAATCCGCTTCGACCGCGCTCCAAGGGCGGGCGCCGCAGCCGCCGCTCCTGCAGCCCGGGGCCCGCGTCGCCGCCCCTCGGCTTCCCGATCACCTCCGCCACGACCTCCCTGGCCCCGAGCCGGACGGTCGCCTGCGGGGCGGGGGTGGACAGGGGAATCGGGCAACCGACAGCCGTGCAAGCCCACCTCCCTCCGGTTCCTCCTCCATCCCCCCCTCGTCCATCACTTCTCCTTAGAGATAACTCCTCCATGTCGCACCCCCAGACGTGTCGGTAGGGCGGGCCGGGCGGTTCGCCTGACACCTCCCACTCATGATCCTGAAACATGAAGTATGCAACAGGTTCACGGACGGAAGGCGTATCCTTTTCACATTAGAACTCTCGCCTTAGCGCCACGCGAATTCGTCTTAAAACTTTGCAGCAGCTTCACGGATTGAGGACGGTTCCCCTCAAAATGTGGCGCTCGCCTAAGCACCGCACACTTTCGTCTTAACAGTTGCAACAGTTTCGGGATTAATATGGTGGAAATCCCAGGGATGGCGTTCTGTTACGGTTCAGGACTGTCAGGACACAACAATCACTTGATTCGCGCTGTTGAAGCCCGAAGACTGGTGTTCTGGGACGATTTAGGATTGTCAGAACGCAACGGTCACGTTGACTCGGGTGGTTGAAGTCCCAGGAATTGTGTTTTGGCCCGATTGGGAATTCTCAGGCGGTTGTCTTCCAATGGGCACTTCCCGAAATGAATCAAAATTATGTTAATTAGAGACCTATGAAGAGGGAACTTGGAGCGAGGGTCGATTGCAACATCGTTGATGCGCCTTGGGTTTACACTGGTCCTCCTCCTTTTCCTCCTCCTCTGATTGTGTCTTCCTCCTTTTTGGGAGGGGGGAGAGGATAATCGATGTGGACGAACGAGGAGGTCGCATGCGGGGCGCAGGTGGACATGGAAATCGAGCACCTAACAATTGTACAAAGAAAATGCTGGCGGCCTCGCGCGGCAACTTGAGACCCAGTTCACGTCGGACTCACGTCGGACTCACGTCGAATCCACGTCGGACTCACATCGGATGTACGTCGAACAGTTCGTTGGATTCACGCCAAGTCCACGTCGGACTTGCGACGAAGAACCGCCGCGGGAACGTCGACCCGTATCTGACGGGGCGGACGTGTGGACTAGACAATACACCTATTGCGCGCCGCGCGAGGCCCCCTGGGTGTTTCCTCATAGCAACTGTTCAGGCCCACATTCCCCCGCTTCCTCTTCCCTCCCCCCCTCCTCCTCCTCTGATTGTGTCGCCCAACGTTCTGAGAAGGGATGGGGGAGGAAGAGGAAGGCGAGGAGGATGGAGCTGCATGTTGAGCGGGGCGCAAGTGAACATGGGAATCGAACAAGCCTACCTCCCTCCGCTTCCTCTTCCCTACCTCCCTCATCATGTGGTTTTGTGGCGACTGCGGCAGTTTTGCCAGCAAACGGACCAGACAAGTGCTTTCCTCGTGTAATCTGGAGGCCACGCCTACACGGTTGAAGTATTGAAGGCGAATACACTGCGGTCTCTGGCCCAGCGCCCTAAGTAATGCCACAAGAAAACTCGACAAATGTCAGTGCGGGATTCCCCAATTCCAGGTGTAAGACATGAACATCACTTAGAGATCTGACATTATCTGTCATGTCTCCCTCCTCCTCCTCCTCTGATAATGTATTCCTCCTTTGAGAGGGGAATAAAGGAAGGATCGATGTAGAGCTACATTTTGAAGAGGAGCGAAATATTCCCCCCTCTTGGGAGGGGCGCAGACGAACAAGAGAATCGAGCAACTGTGCAGGCCCACCCCCCTCCGCTTCGCTTCCGAACAGCTTGAGACGTGTGCGTGCGGGAAGACACGTGCATGACGAAGACACAAGGAGAAGGACACTTCGCTGGAGGACCCTCCTTAAGAGGACGTCGGTGATGTAGCAGCGACCGATAGCTCACCGGAGAGAGAGACAGAGAGAGAGAGAGAGAACAACGAGAGAGAGACAGAGAGAGCAAAGAGAGGGGAGACTTATGACTTAGCCTGGCCGCAGACGCTTCCAAAGCAAAATAGGCCTCCCTCATCCTCCTCCTCCTCCTCCTCTGCTTGTGTTCCCTCCTTCCTGGCTAGGGAAGAGAAAGACGGACTGGGTTGGAGCTGCATTTGTCTTCCAAGCGCTACTCTAGAGGCACTCCTCCTCCTCAGCCCCCCCCCCCTCCTCCTCCTCCTCCTCCTCCTCCTCCTCCTCCTCCTCCTCCTCCTCCTCCTCCTCCTCCTCTGATTGTGTGTCTTCTCACCTCCCTCGTCGTTGTCGTCGTCGGCGTCGCCGTCCTTCCTCCTTCTTCGTTGTTCGCGTCGTCGCCGTCCTCCCTCCTCCCTCGTCGTTGTCGTCGTTGTCGTCGTTGTCGCCGTCGTCGTCCTTCCTCCTCCCTCGGCGCCGTCTTCGTTGGCGTCGTCGTCGTCTTCGTCGTCGTCGTCGGCGTCGGCGTCGTTGTCGTCGTCGAAAACGTCGGAGACGTCGTCGGTGTCGTCGTAATCGTTGTCGTCGGTGTCGTCGTAGTCGGTATGAAGAGGTTTTGCAAACCAAGTTGCGGGTGGGTGGGTGGGATGTTTGCAAGAGCGTGGGATGTGTCAAATCATGGGTAAAAATCATTCTCACTATAGATCTCACTATAGATCTCACTGTGTCAAAGAGAATAAACTCTACCCCCCCCGGCGTTATCGGTACCCCGTTCGGGTATGTATATCACACATGATTATGACCACATGTCCATCCTAAACATGAAATCGCAATGCCCCAGGCCAGCCGGTATCCCCCCCTGAGGTTCCGTGGATTTAAAAAAAAAAAAAAAAAAAAAAAAAAAAAAAAAAAAAAAAAAAAAATGCGGTGACATTTTTTGTTCTAACAGAACACTTTTTTCACGAATCCCTTGCAAAAAAAACGACACGAAGTGCACACGCGCGCGTCGTCGCGCGCGCATGCCGAAACCCTCTAGAAAACCCTCGGTGCCGGAAGGATTTCGCAATCGAGTTTCCAAACAACACACAAAAACACAATGTTTCGCGACACCGATTTGCTAAGAAAACTTCCGCGCGAGCTCTTGCGCAATTCTTTTTATATATTATAAAAAAAGAAACAATGTTTTCAAGATTTTCACAAAATGCTATTAAACGGGCTTCGCGCGCGCGCATGTCGAAATCTGTCGAATGCCCTTGCGCGTGTGCCGTCGCGGGAATCCTCTGCAAAAAACGAGACGAAGTGCAGACGCGCGCGTCGTCGCGCGCGTACGCCGAAAACCTTCAAAACCCATCGGTTTCGGAAGGATTTCAAAAATCGTGTGTCCAAAAAACCTACATAAACACAAAGTTTCGCAACACGGATTTTCAACAAAAGCGTGCGCGCGCGCGCTCTTGCGTCGTCGTCGTCGTCGTCGTCGTCGTGGTCGCCGTCCTCCCTCCTCCCGCGTCGTCGTCGTCGTCGCCAACGTCGTCCTTTGTCTTTCCTCGTGTTCGTCGTCGTCGTTCTCTTTGGCGTCGTGGTCGTTTCCGTCGTCGTTGTCGCCGTGGTCGTCCTTCCTCCTCCTCCCTCGTCGTCGTCGTCGTCGTCCGTCGTCGGCGTTTCGTCGTCGTCCCTCCTATTTCGTCGCCGTCGTCGTCGTCGTCGTTGTCGTCGTCGTCTTCCCTCCTCCATCGTCGTTGTCGTCGTCGGCGTCGCCGTCCTTCCTCGTTCTTCGTCGTTCGCGTCGTCGCCGTCCTCCCTCCTCCCTCGTCGATATCGTCGTTGTCGTCGTCGTCGTCCTTCCTCCTCCCTCGGCGCCGTCTTCGTTGGCGTCGTCGTCGTCGTCGTTTTCGTCGTCGTCGGCGTCGGCGTCGTTGTCGTCGTCGAAGTCGTCGGAGACGTCGTGGGTGTCGTCGTAGTTGTTGTCGTCTTTGCAAACCAAGTTGCGGGTGGGTGGGTGGGATGTTTGCAAGAGCGTGGGATGTGTCAAATCATGGGTGACAATCAATATCGCTATAGATGTCAGTATCGATCTCACTTTTTGTGACACTGCGGGACACCACGGGACACCTCGGGGCAACACATCGATTTCAAGATCGATCCCCGCACCGACCTCACTATCGATCTCACTTAATGGGACACCACGGGACACCACGGCACACCACGTCGATCAGAGTATCGATCTCAATATCGATCTCACTATCGATATCACGACCGATAACACTATCGATATCACGATCGATCCCATTCAACGGGACACCACACGACACCACGAGACACAACGGGACACCACGGGACACCGCGGGACACCGCGAGCCACCGCTGGACGGACGGACGGACGGGCGGGTGGGGGAGAACCATTTGTCTTGACATCGCCCTAGCAACGGCGGACACCACGGGACACCACGGGACACCGCGGGACACGGCGAGCCACCGCCAGACGGACGGACGTGCGGGCGGGGAAGAAGCATTTGTCTTGACTTCGCCCTAGTAACGGCGGACACCACGGGACACCACGGGACACCGCGGGACACCGCGAGCCTCCGCCGGACGGACGGACGGGCGGGCGGGGCATAATCATTTGTCATGACTTCGCCCTAACAACGGCGGGTTAATTCCTCTCGCGCGCCCACGCAGCTTCGCCTCGTCCGCACGCACGACACGAACGAAACGAAACGATTTCCCGGTTGGGGGTCTCCGTCCCACTGCGATCTCACCCCCCAACCTTCGACTCATGCGCTTGCCAACAAAATCATGGTAATGTTGAGCGCTATGAAACCGTTTCGGAATATCCAGCCGAGGAGCAACGATACACGCGGTGATGATGATAATGATGATGATGGGAATGATGAAAACGTTGTTCCCAGCGACGGAACTTGAGCGAACTTTCCAAGAGCGTGTATGTTTCTCACATACAGACGCACTAGGGCCACTGCACATGTCTCGGCGGACTCGACCAGCATATGCCCAAGGCATGTATTCAAGACCTATTAAGACTACGCGGTCAAAAGCGCGATTCTAAGACATCTATCCCACGCGCATTCTCAAGGCCCCAAGACAACATGCTTGCGACAGGTGTTGAGCAACTCTTTCCTCCTCACAGCTTAGGATGATGAGATACGGCATAAAGTTGTTCATTCGCATGATCGATCGAAACCCCGAGCAGCCAAGTTCCTCATGAACATAATGATATTCTATGGCTTGCCTGATGGCAATCGACATTCAGAGTTCTTGGCCGAGTGGCCGGACTGCAACGACAGCGTGGTGAAACAGCTCACACATGATGAATCAATCCCACCAGCCCTTTAGGGCGTAGGTGGTCTAGGGAGTTTCCTCTGCCAACCCCCTTCTTCCCCTTCGGGGAGGGGTTTACCCCTCCCCTTACCCCTCCCCACTGACCTGGACGGGGCCGGTCGCGAGGTGTCAGAGCGTCCAAGATGGCCCAAGACAGCTCCAAGAGCGAACAGGCGAGAAAACACAAAACATTGATTTTACCTAGGTTTTGGAAGGATTTTGGCATCTTGGGGGGGCCCAAGAGGCGACTCGAGGCACTCTGGAGGGGCGGGGCTAATAAGCAACCCCCCCTTCTTTGATAGATCTCCTCCAAGATGGCCCAAAGAGCGCCCCGAAGGCTCCCAAGAGCGCCCCAAGAGCGCCTCAAGAGGGCCCCAAGAGACCCCAAGAGGCCCCCAAGAAGCCTCCAAGACGTTGCCAAGAGACCCCCAAGAGGCCCCAAGAGAGTCCAAGATGACCCAAGACGGCTCCAAGAGCGAAAAGGCGAGAAAGCAACAAACATTGATTTTACCTAGGTTTTGGAAGGATTTTGGCCTCTTGGGGCGCCCAAGAGGCGACTCGAGGCACTCTAGAGGGGCAGCGCTAATTGGGGACCCCCTCTTCTCTGATCGATCTCCTGCAAGATGGCCCCAAGAGCGCCCCGAAGGCTCCCAAGAGCGCCCCAAGAGCGCCCCGAGAGCGCCCCAAGAGGCCCCAAGAGGCGCCCAAGAGGCCTCCAAAAGGCTCCCAAGAGACCCCCAAGAGGCCCAAGAGGCTCCCAAGACGGGTCCAAGAGCGAAAAGGCGAGAAAACAAAAAACATTGATTTTACCTAGGTTTTGGAAGGATTTTGGCCTCTTGGGGGGGCCCAAGAGGCGACTCGAGGCACTCTAGAGGGGCAGCGCTAATTGGGGACCCCCCCTTCTTTGATAGATCTCCTCCAAGATGGCCCCAAGAGCGCCTCGAAGGCTCCCAAGAGCGCCCCAAGAGCGCCCCAAGAGGGCCCCAAGAGGCCCCAAGAGGCCCCCAAGAGGCCTCCAAGAGGCCCCCAAGAGACCCCCAAGAGGCCACAAGAGGCTCCCCGAGATACGCAAGAGGCCCCCGGGACCGCCAAGAGGCCCCAAGGACGGCCCAAGAGGCCCCCAAGCTCGCAATTGTCCTCCTCCTCCTCCTCCTCCTCCTCCTCCTCCTCTTTTTCTTCCTCCTCCCCCTCCTCCCCCTCCCCCTCCTCCTCCTCCTCCTCCTCCTCCTCCTCCTTCTCCTTTTCCTCCTTCTCGTCCTCCTCGTCCTCGCAGTCCTCCATCTCCTCCTCCTTCTATTCCTCCTCCTCCTCCTGCTCCTCCTCCTGCTCCTCCTCTTCCTCCTCCTACTCCGACGACGACGGCTCCTCCTACATCCTCCCCCTCTTGGGGTATATGGCGGCTCACCCCCCCTTTGTTCTTCTGCATGCTCCCCCGCTTCCCTCATAACCTCCACTCCCCTGGGACTCATTTCTGGACGGGCTGGTGGGGATACGCGAAGCGTCTAGAATTTCATTATCGTGCACATCTTCTTGGGTAGCTACAGCCGGCACGGCATGGTTTATCTCTGTCTCTTTGGACTCAAATGCTGGCACTTTGCCCTGCTGCAATCGCTCGAGAGCTCGCTGACCATGCACTGCAAGCTTACCCTCACGATGATCAAATAAATTCCTCGCACCTTTCTGCGCGCAGAACGCACTTCAAACGACTTAGAGCGCCGAATCTCTGGTGGACCGCTATCGCACGTGCAGCGCGCACCTCTCTGCCGTTAAAAACGCGGGGCCCTGACGGTGTCAGGGCGACATCTCTCATCGGGCCCTTGTTGCACGGAGCGTCGAATAATCTCTCGAGCTCTCTGCGCGGCGCTGGTCTCCCGCGCTCCGCGCATCGAGCTCTGAAGCCACATAACCACACTCCATGGTGAGCTGTCAGCCTACGACTCCGCTCTTTCTTCTGCTTTGCACTGGCAGTGCCACTTCTGCTAAGCTTATACTTACAAACTGTTTCCATCACGCTGCTGAGAACCTTTAATGGGTGCTTTATGACTGCAAACCCGACCGCCGTGGACCTCTCACAATCCTACATGTGTCGGAAAAAATAGACGCGGAACTCCTGGGCCAAGATCGCCGCAGTCTTGTCGGCCACCGCGCTGGCGAACAACAACACGCTGCTTCAACATTCAGCTCTACTGCCTCATCGAATTCGAGATGACTCTCGATTCTGATCTCTCGGGTTCCACAGCCAGAAGACTCTTACAAATATCAACATGGGTCTCCGGGAGCTTTCTTCGTCGCACCTTATCGACGCCTCTCACGGCATATGCCGAGTCAGCGACAAAGACTGCATTCGCATGCGGGAGAAAGGTGGCAGCAAACTCTACTAGGGCCGCGGCTTCACCACAGTTGACAGGCTGAAACGCCCCCGGTAGGCTTCCTCCTTGCACATGCGCCACCCGCAACCCCTCATCGTCATAGCTCTCATCTTCTCGGAAACCGCCTAGGATTACAAACGCCCGCGCTACCCTCTTGAGCCTCGGATCCTGATCCAAGCCTCCTCTGGCGCCCCCTCCTCCAAAACTGACCCCTGGTTCGCCAGAAATCGTGGTCAGACGGACTAAAAACATAGCTGGTTCCACTTGCACAATTGATTGCTTTGCGAACTTGTCAACAGGAGGGTGCTACACGGCGAGGTTTTAGGACACAGCATTCCATACCGATGGCCTTGTGGGAAGTCAGGCATCAGCTACTGTGCCACTACTTGTGAATGCTTTCGTTGACTGCATGGACCTGTGGGAGTTGGCTTTCGATTTGAAAGGCATTCATCAAGACAAGAATCGACGTTTGGGTGCGCCCACAATACGCGAAGAACAGCGATGTTTGCGATTATGACGGCATTAAAGCATTCGAACACGATGGATGGCGGCAGACCAGTTGAGTAAACTCGAAGGTGAAGACAGTGAAGAACTATATCGATTGGTTCCCAGCTAGTTCGTGCGACAATATACTGTTCGAGTTCGACAAAGTTTTGGACCGAGCAATGACTGATACTTCATTCGCCACATCATTTAGCTTACTTAATGGTTTATTGGCTGTCCGATAGCACAAAACATCGGTCACTGCATGAAAATAACGACTACAGGTGCTGGTCGTCACGGTCTTGGGAACATGGTGCAATGACTGGGTATTGCGCGATCGATGTGAAGAATATGGGAGGCTTATGTTGCGAATGGATTGTTAGTAAATCCTGGTCAAATTAAGGATATCGAGTCACTCATTCTAGGATTCGCATGTTTATGTACGCTCTTTAAAAACAAGGTTGGCTTCTCGAGCGGGTCCCTGTAAAGAATGCTTAACAACCACTGAGCTGCGTTCCCAACACGGGAAACATCTGGGGAAGTCCTGTTCACGACACTTCGCTGGATTGCCTGCTTGCGTACGCTCCGTTCTGGAGCCCCTTGGCGTAGAACAGGGAAAACATATCTTCCGATATCTTATCAAGTTCACTGAACAGATGCTTGATTATCATCCACATGTAAACCTGTTATTGGATCCGATGCTCATCGATATCCCAAGTGATCCCCCCTGCCAACAGCGGCAGAAAGCACTCTTTCGAATCAAAGTCTGGGGTCGAATCGAATCGGATAGTGAGCGGCCCTGCCATGTCTCGCTAATGGCCTCGGAAATGCAGCTTGGCGGCCCCTTCACGACAGCCGCGCTCTTGCGCGACCCAGTGCACGAGGGTACCCCCCGCCCCTGTGAGCAAGCTCCCCCCTCAGGACTCCAGCAACTGTGAACCTGGGTGTCTCCTGGAAGTCTATTCAAGGCCCGCTAAACAGACGCTCTTTGGACCCCTTCCGGAGCCGTGTTTCGGGCTGCTCATGGCCTTGGCAACGAAGCCCCCCCTCCCCGAGGGCCAAACAAGGAGGAAGAGAAGAGGACCGAGAGAGACCTCCTACCGCCTATCGCGGCAGGTCTGACTACCGTGGATCCAGCTGCCACGACCAGGGGTGGGGGTAAATTGTTTGGGCCTGTGGGCTCCTCAAAGGTAGACACACAATCCTGATCGATCGCGGCAGCTGGATCCTCGGTGGCCGACCGAACTCGCTGCCGCGTTCGGGGTTTGGACGGGGTCTCTCTGCTCTACGGAGGAGGTATGTTGGCGACAGACCTCGAGCGACCCTGGACAAAGGCACCTCCCGCCCCACTGGGGGCTGAAGATGACGATGAGGATGAGGATGAGGTCGAGGAGGATGGAGGAAGGTGGAGGAGGAGGATGGGGGAGGGGAAAGGGGGAGAGGCGAAGAGTGGAAGAGGGGGAGATGGCTCCTTGTTGCCGGCGTGGTTGTCCAGCAGGGCGCGGACGGGCGCCTGTGCGGCATTGGCTTCCCCCTCCCTGCGCTGTGTCCCTCCTCCTGCCCTGCAGGGAGAACGGGAGAGCACTGGATGTACACCGATCATGAGCGCTCCAGGATGCTCCGGGCGCGTTCCGTGAGGCTCTGGAGTGACTCATCCTCATCCTGCCTTGCCCAGGAAAACGCAGATCGGCTACACGCGGGAGTGACGCCAGGCAAGGGTGGCCTTTGGCGCGCGGCTTCAACCCAAGCGCGCAAGCCGCTGCTATCGCAGCGCATTCAGCGATCTCTGGGGACCCCGGTGGGCCCGCACCAAAGGTCACTCCGCCGAAATATCACTGTTCCCTGTAGCCGAGTATACATTAATCTCTAGCCCAAGACGAGCCTGGAAAACATCGGTGCAAGTAAATGACAAGCATTCCGCGAGAACGAAAGCGACAAGCACACGCAGGTAAGTCGGAATGTCAGAACGGCTTCGGCACGTGGACACAGAGGCGCGGGGCTCACTGCCTTTGCAGGACCCAGGTGAAGGCAAAGAGGGCGGGGGCTTGTTTCTTCAATGTAACTTCTAGCACATGGTACAGCAATGCTTCCATACCTTTACATGCACCAAATCAGTAGTCAGTTTGGCTCAGAAGAGTCCAGCAAGAGACAAAACGTCAGCCCGATCCTGACGAAATACTTGCATCAGGGTGCTTTCATTGCCTGGCTTGACTGTCTGAACTTGATATGATATCCTCGCGACGTGACAGTAGGAAGCAAAACAACACGACGAAACCACCGACGCTGAGGCCAGATGTTCTCCATCCAGCCCCCATAAGGCGGCATGAGTGCAAGCATCGCATACATATAATAATATATGAAAGAGCGTGTTCTACTTACAGCTGCTGGCGGAAAACCGGAGGGGGGGTCACTACCGGTTCGAGCCCCCCCCCTCCGGAAAACCGGGGGGGGTCACTACCGGTTCGAACCCCTCCGCCCCCCCCAGTCCATCATGAAAAGGGGGGGGGGGTCACTACCGGTTCGAACCCCCCCCTCAAAAACCGGGGGGGGGTCGCTACCGGTTCGAACCCCCCCCCCTCGAAAACCGAAGGGGGTGCGGACAGTGGTGGGGACGGTGGTGGTGGGGACAGTGGTGAGGGGACAGCGGGACAGTGGTGGGGACAGTGGGATAGTGGTGGGGACGGTAGTGGTGGGGACAGTGGTGAGGACAATGGTGGGAACAATGGGGACAGTGGGACAGCGGTGGGGACGGTGGTGGTGGGGACAGTGGTGTGGGGACAGTGGGAATGTGGTGAAACAGTGGGACAGTGGAGGGTACAGTGGTGGTGGTGGGGACAGTGGTGAAGGCGGTGGCGAGGACGGCGGTGGGACAATGGGACAAAGGTACAGTGGGGACAGTGGTGGGGACAGTGGGGACAGTGGTGGGAACAGTGGGACAGCTCAGTGGGACAGAGGAGGAGTCAGTGGGACAGTGGGGACAGTGGGGATAGTCGGGCAGTGGTTGGGGCCGTGGAGAAAGTGGGGAGAGTGGAACCGTGGTGGGAACAGTGGTGGGGACAGTGGGGACAGTGCGACAGTGGTGGGGGCACTGGTGGGGACAGTAGGGACGGTGGTGGAACCAGTGGGGACAGTGGTGGTGAGGACAGTGGCGCTGGGAACAACAGTGGGGGATGTGGTGCGGACGGTGGTAGGGAACGGGAGTCGCTTGCTGGCGGTGAGGGGGGGGGAGGGGTTCGAACCGGTAGTGACCCCCGTCCTGTTTTCGAGGGGGGGGGCTTCGAACTGGTGGTGACCCCCCCCGGCTTTCGAAGGGTAGGGGGGGGGTAGGGGGGGGGTCAAGCTAGCCAGCTCGAGCGAGTCAAGCATGGCATGCCCATTCCCACCCGCCCTCCCACAACATAAGAAACAGTGATGGCACAACTGGGGATTGCGCGGGCATTTCAGTGCGAGTGGAGGATATCCCAGGACACCGCATTGACGTCCGCGCGGGATGCGCGCCGCGTCCCATTCCCGCCACGCATTTCGCAACGTCGACGACAAGACTGGCCATGTTGAAAGGAACAACGGACACGTTCCGCCCTCCCACAACATAAGAAACAATGCTGGCGCAGCTGGGTGCTGGCGCGTAGTGGTAGTAGTAGTAGTAGTAGTAGTAGTAGTAGTCGTCGTCGTCGTCGTCGTCGTATTAGTCGTAGTAGTCGTAGTAGTAGTAGTAGTAGTAGTAGTAGTAGTAGTAGTAGTAGTAGTAGTAGTAGTAGTAGTGGTAGTAGTAGTAATAGTAGTAGTAGTAGTAGTAGTAGTAGTAGTAGGAGTGGAGTGGAGCAATCGGACGTAGTCCGTTCGGGGAGCGAAGAGACGCCAGGGGGGCCATCCAGAATTTCTCGGAGGGCCGTGGGGGGCGACAACCCACGGCACACCGCGACAGGCCCCCCTGGCCTCACAATTTACTCAGCGGCGCCGCTAGGAGCCGCGAGTGAAGCAATCGCGGCTTCGGCTGCCGATTCATGCATGGCCTCTACAACAGACTTGCTGGGACCCGATCTGGACGGATGGAGACCTCGTCTGATCCTGCTGAGGTTCTCGAGGCCTTTGCCAGTGGGTCCCAGGGCCCCGCGCTCTCCCACTTGGTGGGTGAGAGGGCAGGGGAACTGTAAGCATTTGACCTGGTGTGTGGCCGTATGGCCGCACTTCACACAGAAGAACATTTGCCACTTGGGGATGGTGGCCAACATGTGGGAGGGGTGCATCGCCTTGCCACTGATCACACGGGGACCCCTCGACCACAGCACCTCGCCACACGCAGCAAACTCAGGAAGGGGGCAAGGCGGTGCACACTCCGTGGCGGCAGCAGGAATAATCTGGCAAGCATCGACGATGATGTGACAAGCAGAGCATCGCCATTTATCTACACACCGAACGAATTTGTGCTGAGAATCCGCGATCGCGGTCTGCAACAGAGAGCGAGGGGCAGCCTCTTGAGTGGGTTGCCTCTCTGGCCACGATCCTCGTGGCTCTGCGTTCTCACCGAAAAAACGTAGGATTAGTCGTGCCCGCTGTCGGACAATCGCCGCAATAGCATCATATTCGTCCGTCCTGGGCACGGGCGGGAGGGCAAGGGTGGCCGACTTGTGGGCCGCTTTTCCCGCAAGCTCGTCGGCTTGCTGGTTACCGAGAGCTAGAAATTTCTGAAAACCGTGCAGGGTCTGGGGGTCGGCGTGAGATGGGGTCCAGAGCACCGTGACCGAGGAAGCGCCACGCGGTCGATCCTGCACGAGATGCCGTATTCTCAGCCAGAGATCACCATTATTATTCTTACCTCTGAGGCTGCCTGGCCGGAGACATCTACCATTCTGCCAACCACGCTGCAAGGCTAGGTGGTCGGTAACATAAGTGAAATCCTGATGGCACGTCTCTAGTGCCAGGCAGAACGCATATAATTCTCCTCTTGGGACGGTCTGGCGGGAGCCTGGAAGGGGGGCTTGGAGGCCCGAGTGGAGGGTCCAGGAGGCCGAGGGAGGGTTCCAACGAAGGGCCGCGAGGCCAGAGCCGACGCGACGTCTCCTGACGTCGTCGGAGCAGGCTCCGCCAGACCCGTCGCCAAAAAGAAACAACTCACCCTCTGCGTTACGAGCACCTTCCCAGGTCGGCAAACCCTCCCGCACCTCACCAACAAACTCCCACCCGTCCCTCCCAGTCGATGGCTCGAACGAGGGCGTAGTGAGAGCAGAAGAGGGAAGGCCGCGGAGCCACAAGGCGGGGTCGGCATCGGCCCCCGCTAGGGCTCGCGGCAGTAGCTTGTCGCTGGCCTCAAACTCGGGCCCAACGTTCGCCTCGCACTGCCACATGCGGTGAAACAGGGTTTCAGGGACTCCAGCACTGCAGCGGTCGCAGTTCCTGTCGATCTGGCAGCCTGCGTTGTGGAGGCGGTCTCTGGTCCACTGTCATCCGCTGATGATGGTGTTGTTGAGGGCCCAATCGCTGAAGTCGCCGTTTGCGAGGTACCTCCTTTGTTCAATGCGGATAGTGACCAAGTCTGCGCCTCCTGCAAGCGTGTCTCCATGGGTATGTGTAGCGGCCTGCGTCCAGAGGAGACGGTGTAGATCTTCGCTGAGGTCTTGCAATACTGCGTGGATGTCGGCGTCGAGGAGGTCAGGGTCGTCGGCCGGGGGAAGGTTCCACTCCTCGATGTAGCCGTCCTTCGTACGCCTCCACGTCGTAGCTGAGGTCGGCTCCCAACTGGCTTCTAGCAGGGTCGCGATGGCCGCGCCTGTGGGGCCCTTGACCTTGCACCACAGCTTGGGGCCAGCGGCGAGCAGGGTAGTCTTGATCTTTGGCCAGGCTCTGATGATCCTGGCGTGCGTGTTCGGGTGGCGTATCCAGTGCTGAAGCCAGGCCTCGACGAACTCAATCCTTAGGGAGACTCCAGGGTCCATGCCGTCAAAGGTGGCGCCGAGGAGAGGAGTGAGGCAACGACCCGCTGCAGCGCCCGTCGCTGCTATGGCGGCCTGTCGCCGCCAGCGTAGAAGAGCGCGCCGAGCGAGGCCGTGAACCTGATGGCCAAATACTCCTTCAGGAAGAGCGCCAGTGCGCCACAGGCCAGCAGAGATTCGGGCCTGCTGTGCAGTGCTCCGTAGTCGATGTATGTTGCGAAACCTGGCGGCGGCGGAGATCTGACGCTTCCTGGCTTTGGCTTGTACTCGTCGAGTAGCCGCGGCAGCGTCCACGCCAAGGTCGACGGCCGTGGAGGTCGCGGTAACTGGGATGTCGTACTGTCGCATCTTCTTGGCAAGCAAGTGGCGGACCTTGGGAGTGGAGCCGATGAGGGCGGTCTTGCCTGAGATAGGCAACTCGAACTCCTTTAATCCGTTGCATAGCGTCCTGGCGGCACGGGGGAGGTGCTTCTGCAAAGCTCGCAGGACTCCTTCGACTCGTAGTACAGTGTCGTCCACGAAGGTCCACATCTGGGCAAGCTCTGCCTAAAAAAAAAAAGAAAAAAAATAAAAAACAAGAAAA